ACATCTTAATGATATTATATCATATATGTTAATTCCTACAATTTTAATTATATGATATCTTAATGAGTAAAGTCCTATTGTAAAACTAATATAGTAAACAACTTAATCTTATATATTCATTTAAAACTCTTATCAAGGGGGGAGAGGGGGGGGGCTTCAATTTTTTTGAGGATTATGAGGAGACCCTATTCCTAGGCGGGTGCCCAAAATGCTTAGGTGCCTGAATCCTCATTTTTTGAACATTGGGTGGTCGAAAATGCGGGAAAAAGCGCCTGCCTAGGCTGCCTGCAGGAGTTTCGTGAAATTGTTTTTCAGGATGGCCTAAAATACCGTTTTCAACTACTCTAATTCCTTGATTATGTGAATTTTGATGGACTTTTTGAAATTAAATCGAAATGCATGAGTTTAAAATATTAAATAGTTCATCTCTTATGTGTATATTGACAAATTTTCCTATGGATTTTCTTGTGTGTAATTTTGACTTTTCAGTTTTTTGGCGTGTCGTTTACTTCTTGTATCTCTCGTTACCCCTTCAATATATATATTTTTCTTTTAAAATGGAAGGTGTTTTATCTCAAAGCATGCAATTATTCAATATTGCCAAGAATATAATGTCGTATATAGTGCACTTGGACAATGAGATTCTAAACTTTGAAGGTATGTTAAAAACTATAAGATAAAACCATTATAATTAAGATATTGAGAGAGTACAAAATGATTTAAAAGAAAGCCAACAAAAAAAATGGGGTTGCTCTTTTTTTTTTTAAAAATAATCTTATGATTGATTTTAAAGGGAAAATTACAAAAAACCCTCAAGACCACACTTTCTATGCTACTTACCCCTAACCTAAGTTTTTCTCTCACTTTTTTCCCCAAAACAATCTTTCTATGCAAATACCTCCCCAAGGGAAAATGTTCATTTTGTTTAGATGGAAATGCCTTTCCTGTACACAAAAATCATTTTGCCCAGATTTGACGTTGACTTTCGGACCCTAATAGCAAATTGCTGGAGCGCACCATCGCATTGCCAGATCTATTATTCCAGAAACTTAAGTGCCAGATTGCTCTAAGACAACTATCAGACTGAAACTGAGTGCTGCCGGTCTGCCTTTTACATAGTGCTGGAGCCTTGGAATCCATTAACATCTATTGCCGGACCGCCCTTTGCAATTGTCGGATTGCTGTAACTCCACAATTTTTACTGTTGAACCGCACTTACATAGTGGCGGAGCCCTGTAACTCCAAAAGTATCTACTGTCAGACCACCCT